CCCTCCCTCCCCCCCCCCTTTCTTTCTTTCTTATTGGTGACTGAATCCAGAGGCACTTTACCATTGAGTTACATCCCCAGCCTTTTAAAAAATTTTTATTTTCTTTTTAGAACAAACAGGAGAGTTTATTTTGACATATTATACATACATGGAGTATGACTTCCCATTCTTGTGGTTGTACATGAGGTGCTGTTACGCTGATTGTGTATTCATATATGAACATAGGAAAGTTAATGTCCAATTCATTCTACTGTCTTTCCCCCTTCCCTTCATTCCTTTGTCTAATCCAATGAACTTCTATTCTACCCACTCACCCTCCTTTGGGTTTTTGGGATTGGCTTATTTAGCATGATAGTCTCCATATACTGGCAAATGCCATAATTTCATTCTTCTTTATGGCTGAGTATTATTCATTGTGTACATATACCACATTTTCTTTATCTATTCATATGTGGAAGGGTACCTAGGTTGGTTCCATAGCTTAGCTATTGTGAATTGAGCTGCTATAAACATTGATGTGGCTGCATCACTATAGTATGCTGATTTTAAGTCCTTTGGGCATATACTGAGGAGTGGGATAACTGGGTCAAATGGTGGTTCCATTCCAAGTTTTCTGAGCAATTTCTATACTGTTTTCCACAGTGGTTGCATTTGCAGTCCTACCATCAATGTATGAGCATGCCTTTTCCTCACATTCTTACCAACATTTATTGTTGCTTGTATTCTTGATAATTACCATTCTTACTGGAGATGCAATCTCAGTGTAGTTTTCATTTGCATTTCTCTAACTGCTAGAAATGTTGAACATTTTTCCATATATTTGTTTGCTGATCATATTTTCATTTTGAGACAGGGTTTCTATAAGTTGCTTAGAGCCTTGTGAAATTGCTGAGGTTAGTCTTGAACTTACAATCCTCCTGCCTTAGCTTCCTGAGTCACTGGGATAACAGATGTACACCATCACACCTGGCTTAAATTGCTTCTTATTTATATATAATGAGCAAATGCACTAATGAGCCTATATTGTATCCTAATTATGGAAAAGAGAAAAAACAGCATATAGGACATTATGAGTACAATCATGGAAACTTGACTAGGAACTGAATATTAAGTGATCTGAGAGAACTGCTTTCTCAATTGAGAATGATATTGTGGTTAGGAAGCAAGTATCTTAATGCTTAAGTATTTTGGTATCTCCAACTTATTCAAATGGCTTTACCAAAAAAAAGCCTATCTGCCAGCTGTGGTGGGTCCCATTTGTAATCCCAGTTACTGGGGAGGCTGAGGCGGGAGGATCACAAGTTCAAGGTTAGTCTGTGCAATGTAGCAATACTGTCTAAAAATAAAAAATAAAAAAAGGCCCGGGTGTAGCTGAGTGATAAGAGTGCCCCTGGGTTCAAGAGTGTCCCTGGGTTCAATCGCTAGTACTGCCCCAAACCAAACAAAATCCCACAAATACCCCCCAAACACATAGCCTTTTTTAAAAAATTTGAGAGTTTTTCATAAATAAAGGATGTGAGTGAGGGGAAGAAATGGTATCTTTTAAAAGCTCCTTAGCTAAGAGCAGTAACTTCTGATTGTTAACTTCAGTCTTCCTTTTGGGTTTATAGAACTGTTACTTTTCTTCAAAATTTTGCTGTTGCACACAAAATTATTCAGCTTAGCAGTCTCAACCCCACCCAAGTGCAAGCAGTTTTTTTTTTTTTTACTTTGTTAAACTTTTTTAAAATTGATTTTAAAAAAAATGACAGCAGAAGGCATTACAATTCTTATTATACATATATGCCACAATTTTCATGTCTGTTTTTATATAAAGTATGTTGACACCCAATTCGTGTCTTCATATATGTACTTTGGATAATGATGTCTATTTTATTCCACCATCCTTGCTAATCCCCTGCCCTATCTCTTTCCCTCCCACCCCTCTGCCCTATCTAGAATTCATTTATTCCCCCATGCTCCCCCTCCCTACCCCACTATGAGTCAGCCTCCTTATATCAGAGAAAACATTTGGCATTTGTTTCTTTGGGATTGGCTAACTTCACTTCACCAATGCCATCCATTTACCTGCAAATGCCATGATTTTATTCTTTTTTATTGCTGAGTAAAATTCCATTGTGTATATATGCCACATTTTTTTTATCCACTCATCCACTGAAGGGCATCTAGGTTGGCTGCACAGTTTAGCTATTGTGAATTGTGCTGCTATAAAATCTTTTTTAAAAATTGTTCTAATTAGCTGTACATGACAGTAGAATTTTGACACATGATACATGGATGGAGTATAATTTCTCAGTCTTCTGGTGGTACATGATGTAGAATTCACAAAAATATGGAATGATTCATGAATTTGTGTGACATTCTTGAGCAGGGGCCATGCCAATCTTCTCCTTATCATTCCAATTTTAGTACATGTGCTGCTAATCAAGCACATGCAAGTAGTTTTTAATCACACTTAAATTAATAATATGTAGCAACAACTTCAAGTTGGCCCCAGGAGACAAAAATCCAGTCACATAAAGTGCTTTACACTCCTACAGTATTACACCGGTGCACATTCACTTTCAAATGGCAGAATAGTTTTTCATTTCCCCTCAGTTCTATCTGCATTAGGGCTGGTGTTTCTTTTTTACTAATATAACCCCAGACGGATTTTCTTCTGGCCCATTGTACACAACTTTAGGACTTTCAGAGGATTCTTTTTGCCCAACCACCTATCATTGAATTCTATTTCAATCTGCCTATATGTAAATATATTTTTTTTTCCATGCTGGGGATCAAATCCAGGGCCTCACGTATGCCAGGCGAGCATTCTACCACTGAGCCACATACTTAGCCCTGTAAATATTTCTTGAAATTACTAATTTCAACCTGCAATTTAAAAAGCAAACCCAGTAAGAAACTCAGAATCACATTTTAATGCTCTTTCGTCATTACTCTGGGATGTAAAAATGATGCAGGTTCATTAGAGAACTGTGTGTACCAGGAAGCTCTGACATCATTTTAAAAGTGAGCACACCATGACAAGGCAGAGCTGTCGTTAATATTCAATATCCATCATACACACATTAAATGAGTTTAGTTTCTTTGCTACCAGGTTCTTGGAACGAGGCAGTTAATATGTCAATACTTCTCTATGATCCAGCAGTCTCAGGGGCTCCCAGGGTCAAAGGGATTTCATTTATTTTTAGCAATTGTTGTCTGGTGTCCAGGAATGTGCTCATGTGATTTGAACGTTAACTGCTGGCTTGGGACAGGCGACCCAACTGTCTTCAAAAGAACGCCTGCAAAGGCGAGCAAGAGGGGGCCCGACCCGCGTGCCTCCCTTACCAAGATGGCTTCGGGGCCCGACCCGCCGGGCAGCCATCTTGGTGAAGGCGGGGGCAGCGGCGGCCGCGGGACAACGTTGGCCGGGGCGCCAGCTTCGAAGGTCACAATGAGAAAGTCACCAGGCAAGGGGGAGCGGAACCTTGCTGCAAGCCGGGCCCCTCTCGGCCCGGGGGCGCCCGGGGCGCTGCGCGCAGCCCGGGTGACCGCTCACTCCACGTATGGCGAGGCGGCCAGCGCTCCGGCGCTGCCTACAGCTGCTGGCACCTTCCGCGGAGTCGGCGCGGCGGGGCCGGGGGCGGAGGAACCCGGGCGCCGGCCACCGCGGGCCCCCCCGCGGCGCCCGGGCGGTGTGGCTCGCAGCCCAGGAGGAGCAGCTCCGGCGACGCGCGCGCCCGACTGCCGCCGGCGCAAGGTGAGCCCCCGCCCTCACCCCGCCCCCGCCGCTGCCGCTGCGCGCCCGCCGCAGGGAGCCAGAGCGCCTAGGAGCCCCTAAGCTCCGGGACTTGGCGGGAGGCGGTTTCGTCCCGGCCGCGCTTTCTATGGCATCTGTGCTGCTTCTTCCCGGGTCTCTGTGTGCAGCAGTCCGCATTCCCTAGCCTAGGGCTGTTGGAGCGGAGCGTGCTGCGATCGCGTATCCTAGTCCCCAAGCCCTGCCTCCTGGAGATGCTGCACTTGTGAGTGGCAGGGCTTCATTTGAATTTCCGCACCTGGAGAGTTGCGGAGCCTGCTTCTCTGACGCTGACTGAGTGAAGAACTACAGTCTTCTTTCTGTCCCCTTTGGGAGAGTAGCTGTCTGTGCAAATTACCAGGTTGCATCTTCACTGATCGGAATACAAGTGGGTGTATCTTCTTTTGGTTTATATGTAGGAATGGGTCTACAACTTCCTCAGAGCAACTTATTTATGCTTCATCTATAGTATGTATCGTCTAAAAATCCATTCCAACAGGGTTCTCCCCTTTTATCTTCAATAAGTGTAATTATTGAATCAGAATAGGAATGGGGGGGGGCAAGGGAAGGGGTGGTGGGAGGTAGTACTGTCTTGAGTTTTATGTTCAGTGGTTGTTGGCTTCTAAAATTGGTGTTACCGCGGGCTTTTCAGAACACGAATTCAGATAGTTCCCACCCCCCATGGAACTAGACATGGCCTTGATAGTTGCGTTTGCACGGGGCCCCCATGGTCTGCTGTATTATATACCTCAGTTGAACCTGGAAAATATTAAGAGTGAGAAAAGTTAACAGCCTTTTAAAGTCATTTAGTTCTTGCCTTTCTCTTTACTGTAGGTTCTGTATATGTTATAATATGACTTGCCCCGTTGGCTTTGGCTTAGCATGAAGTGTTTGCTATTGATAATTCTGTTTCATTTATTCAGAAAGTCACTCCTGAGATAGTTTACTGCAAATTAAGAAGTAATTTTCCATCGTTGTTAACAGATGGAAGTGTAACAGTTCCATTTCTATTTTGTTACATTGGCTATGATTTAGTAATACCAGCATCGTTTAGAAGGAAGTTATATAATCTTTAAAAAGAAAGATTACCCATGTCTCACAGTAGTCTGGTTTTGTTGCACGAAAATATTAGGTCTATTAAAGAAGGAATGTACAACAGGTATACTTATTTAAGATAAGAATCTAAGAAAGAGATTGGGGGATTAAAATGGGTTATGTCAACTGAAAATATAGCCATGATTTTCAAGGATTTTATTTTGTTAATAGTCTGCAGGACTTCCTGCTGCAAGAATTATGGTAAGTCTCCAAGAGAGGAAAGAGGAAAATACTGAGTGTATTTCTCACACCCCTATTTTCCCTCACAATTCCAGATTATATTGGACAGATTCTACATTGTAAGCTTGAATGCTTAAATTAGTCCAGTTATGACTATATAAAGGACATTTTAACATAGGTATTTCACCATAGGGTTTTGTTTATACTTTGATACAGTCATCCTCATGTGCTTGTTTGTAAGGAGAATTATGTTACTTGGGTATTTGTGAGTTCAGAAAACTGAGAGGATTTTTATGAACATTCCATTTGCATTTGGAAAAATAGTATTTTTCCTTTAATTTTGTTGTTTGATTTTGATTTCTCTTTGTAATGGTGGATAGCTCTGAATACTGTGGGTTTTTCCATTCATTTTCTACTCTGTGACTAAGGGTATGTCTATATGGAGGGTTGTGTTGATCTGGGCATTTTAGATTTAGTACATAGAAGTGAAATCTTTTCATTGAAGTGTCATTAGGGAAATGAACTTTGCACATAAGTAATCATTAAGGAATATTTTTATTCTGAAGGTCTGTGTAAGCATGCATAAAACTGGCATAAAAATTCACTCATGTGATTTCCAGCATAAGGTTCAAGTACTATTTCATTCTACCTTCTTTAATCCTGAAGAATTATACACTCTTGTGGTTTATAGTACATGGCTCAGTTTGTCTTTTGAATTTGATACCCATTTATTGTGTATTTATGTTACTAACAGTGTTTCACAACAGATTATATATAATCAGATATCCTCAGGGCAGTTCTATGTCATAGATACAGTCTTCTTCCAACTTATCTGGTTAAATAATGTATTATAATTTTATCATTTACAAAGCTCTTTCACATATTTTTATATATTTACTTTTAGTTGACTTTATAGACTTAAGAATATGGGATTATTAACCCTATGCCAGGAAGAGGAAAACAGGAATCTGAGACCATGGGAGATTTTAATGATTTGGACAAGGTTCTTTAGCTCAGCAGCCCCTGTTCTTGTTAGACAAGGGAACCGAAAAAGCTAAGGATGAGTAGTGTGCATCACTAATACATCTGGAGATGCATCCTAAACCTAGGTTGTGGACTATCTGTACCATTAGTCACGGAGGCTAGGGCTGGCATATAGATGGATGGATCAGCATAATTAAAAAGCTTGGTTAAAAAACAACTCAACCCCTGTCTAGAACAATCTGTCTTTCCTCTTGAAGGCAGCAGATTTTTGTGTTTATCTAGTTTGGGGACCTTCCCAGATTAACAGACAATAACATATTGATCAAACAATGAATGTTTGCAAAGTTCTGTGTGATTTTGTAGTTGTTTTGTTAAAAGAATAAAGTTACTGGGATAAAGAAAGTCCAAGCTCTCTCATTGTCATTAGCACCCCTTAAACTGGGCACATGCTTGTTGTTTTCCTTATGAGAAAATTATGCCAGGAAAATTGAAAGACAGAAATAATTTGTTTTTTAAAGAGTTTTCTTATTTTGAAGCTCCTTCGAATTGAGAAGATATTTATTTCAAGTTTCTGTGTTCATCCCTTTGGTTTGTTTAGAGAGCTCATAAAAAAACTAAGCTACCTCCTGAATATATGGTTAAATAACTTGATAAAGCTTCAAGAATTTCTGAACTCAAATTCCTTTTAAACTTGAGGCCTTAAGTAAAATACCCCACATGAGGTGAAATGTGTCATTTATCTTCTTATGCTGACTGTATGCTCTTTGGGAAATTTTCCTAAGCATAATTAAGATGAGAGTATGGCTAATAGAGAGTCTAGGCTCCATCACCAGCCAGAGAGACCCTTGGGGTGGTGGGTTACTCTCTGGACAGACTTGCTTTACCTGTAAAGAGTCATACAAATGATAACTTTTGTCTTGGAATATTCAGGTTGGAAGGGACTTTGAAGGGTATGTGCTTACCTCAGCTTTTAACTTGTCGATTGCCTATTTCTACCCTCATCAGAGTTTTAGCCTGTCACGATGCCTCAAAACTGCAATGTCAAATCTATTTTTTCCCCACCATTTCACAGAGATGAGATACAGTTCTTGAGTAAATTGATTCCTTTCTCAGTCTTGCCTCATACAGTGTCTCAGTTTTCTCTGTAAGTGCACGTAATGAATATCATTACAATGAAGAATTTTACCTAAAACTTTTTATATTCTCAGCAACATTGTCTTGGTTAAGCATGGTTATGTAGAAGTTTGTAATTGCTTTTTTTTTTTACAGCCAACCAAATATTTTGAAACCATATTTAATAATAATGCTTCATATCTCTCTCTGCCTCTCTGTCTGCCTCCCACCACTCAGTGTGGTGTGGGGGGGATTGGACCCAGAGGTGCTTTATTACTGAGCTACATACATCCCCAGCCCTTTTTATTTTTTTGAGACAGGATCTCTTGAAGTTGCTTAGGGCCCTGTTAAATTGCTGAGATTGACTTGAATTTTCAATCCTCCTGCCTCAGCTTCTTGAGATGCTGGGATTAGAGGTGTGCGCTACCATGCCTGGCTAATGCTTCATCTCTAATTCAGTATAAACTGCCCACAATTTTATAAGTTTTCTTGAAGACATACGTGCAATTTTATGGTACCCTAATGCATAGGACGACCAGCCTTCTAGGTTTTTGTAGGACTGAGGGGGCTCCCAGGATGTAGAACTTTCAATGTGAACACTAGAATCCCCAGGGACCAGATGCTTTGGTCTCCCTACCAGAAGTTGTCCTATCTATCTATCTATTTCTCTATCTATTTATTTATTTATATTTATTTATTTTTGAGTACTGGGGATTGATCTCTTTCTGGGGCATGACTAACAATTCTTCACAATTAGAAGGATAAAATGCCAGGTCATTATATGTTATATGCTGGCTGAATGCAGACACCTTTTCAAATCAAGAGGAGTATGTTCAAGGTACCAGGTATATTTTTTTGTTTCTATGACTGAAATATATAATCAATTTATTATTTGTTGATGATTCTTTTAAATTTTAAATTAGAACAATTGAGTTATTAATTAAAATAGCTAAATCACTTGAAGCTGTCTCCATGTAAAATTAAAGGGATTATTTTTATGAGGAAAGTGCTATTTATTGTCTACTAAAAGCTTTTTACTTCGAAAAGAAAAAAAAAAAAAGAGAAAAAATTCTTAAAAGCAAAAAAGGCTAGCCTTGTTAGTGAGACCACAACCATTAACTAAACGATACCAACTTTAGAATGTAGTTAACTGCTCAGGAGACATTTATTGAATTTTATTTGTAGATTCAACATGTACATGGAAAGAGCATGGGCTTGGCATCTGATCAACTTGGGTTGCTAGATTTTTGACTTAATGCAAGCTACTAAACTCTGTGAACCTCTGTTACATCATTTATATGTAATTTGAGGATACTGATATCTACCTTGTAGAAATATTGTGAAGATTAATGAGACTATATGCTCACACATATACGTAATATATCAAGTGCTTGGCACATAGTAAATGCTTAATAATTGATAAAGGATACAATTATGTGTGTTACTCAGTGTACCCATGGTTTGAATTAGGAAGGCTGTGTTTTGGGAGATTATTACCTTTAGGGTTGTATGTGTGTGTGTTACTGGGGATGGAACCCAGGGCCTCATACATGCTAGGAAAGCCCTCTACCCCTTAGCAGCAATCCAGCTCAAACTTTTAGTGTTTTTATAGCTCCCCTAAACTTCCCAGTTATGGCAGATATATCAGTTAAGATTAGTTTGAGGCAGGTTAAAAGATTGCTCAAATATGTTTTCTCCTCTGAAGAGAAGTGCGGAGTTAGTACAGGCTTAGTCTGGTGGACCCTCAGGTCCTTCCATGTCTCCTCTATGCCATTGCAACAATGTGGCTAAAGATGGCTACCAGTAGCAAGATCTGGAGGAATCAGGAGTTCCTGCCTTTTCTTTAAGGAAACTCCTGGAAGTGCTATATATGACTTGTGCTGGGAACACACTGGTCAGTGTCACCAACATGGCCATCCCTCACTGGAAGGCTGGGGAGTGTAGTCACTGTCCCTGAGGAGAAAGAGGAGACTAGATTTTTTATGATAGGCACCTTCTAGTCTTTGCTACTCTATA